AAATATTTATAATGTTTACAGGTAAATAAAAAGTAATTTCTGTGGTGGAGAGCAAAAGGCAGCTGAATTCAGACTAAATAAAACAACTAATCATAAATCAGAAAAACAAACACATCTCCCTCTTCTTGATAAAGAGGTTGGGAATTTAGGGTGAAGAATGTTGCATATGCTGTCAGATTAAGGCTTTGTTGATTTGTTGTTGTTCAGTTGTTCCAAGTGTGTCGAACTCTTCCAGACCCCATTTGGGGTTTTCTTGACAAAGATACTGGAGTGGTTTGACATTTCCTTCTCCAGCTCATTTTACAGATGAGCAACTGAGGCTAGATTTGAACTGAGGTCTTCCTGACTTCAGGCCCAGCAAGAAAGAATTCAAATGGAGAGAAAGCACTCAGAATAAGAGGAACATACAAAAAAAGCATTTAAAATAAGGTATGCTATCATAAAAGACAAAATGTAAAATAAAAATAAAATGCCATTGTGAAGGCTGTCTCACTAATAAGATTCTGCTAAAAAAAAAAAGTACTGAGGAAATCAGAGTTTTTTTTATGGATTGGAAAAGTTTGGGTTTAATGAGATCTGAGCTGGGCTGGAATCATGAGCCAACTTGGTGTCAGATCTGCTGGAAAAAGGAGGCAGCAGTTCAATAAAGGAATGTATGGGGGGGTAGGGGGTGTGAAAATATAAATATCAAAATAAATACATATTACCTGCTTTGCAATTGTTCTAGAACTCACCCAGGGTGTTCCCTATATCAATGAAATCACAGGTCTGATCCCTTATAGGATGGGAGAAGGGCAATACCAGACAAGGCAAAAAGGAACAGGACCTGAATTAGGATTTCAGCTGTCACCAATCAGATGACTAAGCCAGGTGCTCTCTTTTGAAACACCAAAATCCAAGGGGCTAAGACAAAATAGGAAAAAGGAGTCCTGGACCTAGAATCAGGAAAACCTGAGTTGAAATCCTACCTCAGACATTTATTAAGTTGTGTGACTCCGAGCAAGTGATTTTATCTGTCTGCCTCAGTTTCCTTATCTGTTAAATATGGATAACAAAGCACCTACTTCCCAAAGATGTGAGGATAAATAAAATGAAATCATATTTGTGAAGCACTTTGCGATTCTTAAAGTGCCATATAAATGCTAGCTATTATTATTAGCAGCAGCCCAAATACTACTAAAATTGCCCCCAATTGCATTGCAAGCTCCTTGATGGCAGGAACTGTCTGTTCCCTCTTTTTGCATCCCCAGCCCTTTGTGAAGTGCCTTGCATATAGTAAATGGTTAATAAATGTTCATTGACTGATTGTTTGGTTGCCCTTGCAGATTTTGGATACCTGATTAAACTATTAGGACAAGTCTAGATAACTACAAACTTCAGACTTCTAACTCTTCCTTCCATCTCCCCAAATCAGGCTAAGCCCGATCCACTTTAACATCTCTGCCACTTAACATTCCTTCCTTTCTCTTGAGAAGAGAAGGGGAAAAAAGAAAGAAAAATGAAAAACTATAAACACACAGAGAAAAGATAAACTAGTATACTCTCCTCCTCCTTCTCTGTCTTTATTATCAATTTGTTAAAGTATACTATTCAAAAGATTTCCCTTTTCCAGGGACTTTAAGTGTCTGAGGCAAGTGTTTCATCAGATCCATAGCTATTTTATGTTCTTCAAAAAAAAAAATCCTATTACTTCTATCCTCTACCCACACATCCTCCTAACACACACACACACTCACACTCTCTCACACACTCTCTCACTCTCTCACACTCTCTCTCTCTTTCTTTCTCTCTCTTGATTTGAAATTATCCTTGGTACTGTTTGAGGGTGGGAAGTGGAATTATGACATGCTAAGCATTTGTATTTTTATCATGTCAGTTATATTTAAACTAGAGATAACTATGATAGAGAGAACTATGAATCAAGTTCCCCTCTGTTCTGTGGCACATTCTACTTTAGAAGAGGAAGAAAAATGCATGAAAACACAACTGAATAAATACCATTCGAATCCCTATTCATTTACATGTGCTGAGTAATCTTAGGCAGCAAGAGAATCTGCACAGTACCTGTAGTAAACCATTCAAAACCCTAAAAGGAAATGCACTTATGCATATTTAAAACAGAGGAATATTATTCTTTCCTGGCGCTATTTAGTTAAAATGGAAATCTGTTACAGCTGCTAAACACACCTGCCCTCTTACTTAGAGGTGTCTGCCTGTGGTATTGTTTAGGGATACCTCACTAATGGATTCATTTCTAAAGAGTCAAAATTGAGCTACATACACATAAACTTTCTAAAAAGAATATTTTTATATAAAAATATCTACCCTTCTATAGTCACAAACATCTCAGATATGCTCTTAAATGCATTTAAAAGCTAATCATTACAATATTTATTTGGAGGGGCTTTTTTGGTCTGTAAGATTGGTGCTTTTTTCCTATCAACCAGGGTACTAAACTGTAAGTTTTGTTTTTTTTTAAATTATAACAAGATTTATGTACATTTTAAAAATAATTCCTTTGTTTATTCCATGATAAATAGAAATGTCTTTTAAAAAAAAAGCCTAGGATACTACAAAGAACTGGTTAGTACATTAACTGAAAAGCCAAGACAGTTGCTGCTTTTGGAAATTCTAAGCTTATCTGAGATATTTAATTACCTCTCCCTGTGGTATGCATACACCCAAGACAGTTATATCTCCTTCAATAGAAAGTTGGCACTTATTTCATGACAGGTAAAGGAACCACATTGTTTAAATGGAAGAAAATATTCACTGATAAGCCACTGTGGAGAATAGCCTTGTATCACTGGGCTAATTCCATTACCTACCTGTGTTTTGCTTTTCTACTTAAATGTCTTTTCCAGTATTATCTCTTGGAAAATCATATTCCTTACTTTGTAAGTTTCTCCTAGCTCCCATGCGTCCCTTTGAGGTTTTTTTTTTTTTAACACAAGACTATCCTAGGAGAGGTCATGAAATCACTACCAGGACTTTTCTGTCTGTCCTTTCCTGACAGGAAGAGCCTCCAAACACTCAGTACATGAGATGTTGTCCTTGTTATTAACCAGTGGGGGCCACCATATCCCTAGCAGTCAGTAAAGAGGTGAACAGATTGAATGCACCCCCTATTCACATCATGGTCTAGATTTATGCAATAGCCTAAAGGGCTTTCTTCCTGTGTATCCTTCCAATAAATCTCAATTCTCTTCCTAATACAAGTCTCTCAGGTAGTCATCTCTTAAAGCTCATAATTTAAACACTGAACACCGATTGGCTTGTTCAACAGGCTAACAGAACCATATTTCAGTAACACAAATGAGATTACGGAAAGGAGCAGGGTTTATGAATTGTTGTGGTTGTTTGTCCTTCGGTCTCAAAGAGGACCAATGACAGCAGGAGGGTGACATCTTGACTTGCAAGTGAATTTAATTTAAGTGAGGCAGGACTGTGCAAAATCATCAGCCTTACTCTCTCCGCCAGTGTCATTTGGAGTTTAGTGGCAAGACATAAATCAGTACTATTGGCGATGGCCCAGATGAAGTGGTAGACCTTGGCCTTTTTTTAAGCTAAGGTCTTTCCCAGGTCTCAGTTTGTCTGAGGCAACACCCATTCAGTGATTAAAGGATAGGTAAGAAGAGTTAATACAAGTGAAAATTCAGGGGCATACCAAGATTTATGTTCTAAGTTGTTTTCTTCAATGAATTTCCAGTTGATATTTTGGTAGTATGACATAGTAGATAGAGTGTTGTGTCTAGAGTTAGAAAAACCTAGGTTCAAATACTGTCATTGATATTTACTTGCTATGTGACCCTAAACAATTCATTTAACCTCCCTGTGCTTCTGGCAACCCTCATGAACTTATCTACTAATTCACAGATAGGTTGCAATCTGGCTTCACATCAGTGGAGGGAGTTCCCACATTTTGAGTCCCTCTTTGCTGACAATATCACAGATTTTTCACATTTCCTTATATTTTGAACCCAACAGTAACATTATTAAAGGCCTCTTTGTACAATTGCATATTGAATAAACAAATCACTTCATATCCTAATCCCTCATTTCCAATTAGATTTCTTGTTTAAATTGATTTCACCGAAATATTTCTATTATCCATACTATAATGCACAGTTGGTATGTTGGGAAAAGGGCTTGCTCATCTGAATCAATGATCCTATTCCCACCAGCTCAAAGAGCAGATAGATGTGTGAGGCTACATAAATGAAATCTTGCCTCACCTCCAATTCTTTGAATCCTCAGCTTTTCTCAAAGCACAATTCAGAATCACCTCTGACATGAGGCCTGTCCTGATTCCCCAGACCCTCACTATTATTGCTTTCTTCTCATTCATTTATTTAACAAGCATTCCCTCTAGAATTTTACACCACATATACTTTGTATTTACTTACTTATATGCTATATTCTATCCCTTGAGGGGAATGTATAATCCTAGAGGGCAAGTACATCTTTGTTTTACATCTAGTCAACATTGTTGTTATTCAGTCTTTTCAATCATATCTGACTGTTTGTGACCCCCTTTTGGGTTTTCTTGGCAAAGATACTAGAGTAGTTTGCATTTCCTTCTCCAGAGCATTTTACAGATGAGGGAACTGAGGGAAAGAGGGTTAAATGACTCACCCAAGATCACTTGGTTAGAACATGTCTATGACCAGATATCAGGTCTTCCTGATTCCAGGTCCAGCTCTCAATTCATTGTGTCATCAAGCTGCTATTACCATAGTTAGTATTTAACAAAAGTTTGTTGAATCTAATTGAATTAAAGAGGAGAAAGAGAGCTCAAATTGATGGAGAGGGACTAAGGAATGGAGAATTGGCCTAACCCCGAGTTTATGGAGGCAGATATGCTAGAAATGCTTAGATAAGTGGCAAGGAAATTGCCCGTTAGGTCAATGACATGATGACTTCTTGGATGATTGACAGCAGGAAATGATTTACTTGTAGACAAGATCATTCACAAGCATTTTATTATCTTGAGCACTAACCTGTATGTCATGTAGCTCTTGAAAAACTCACTTTTCAACATCATCTTTGCAAATATGTATTGTTCAAATGTTCAGTTTCCTTTAAGAGGTTGCAGCATGTAATTTGTTGATTTTTCAAGAAGGCAGAAAACAGAAATGAAATTATTTATTCTCCTCTGCAGTAGGCTTCTGTGACATCCAAAGGTCTGATTCAGGCTGTTTCCACTCCTCTCCAAAAATCGTATTCAAACTAAAAGACTTGAAGTATTCCAGGCGATGGCTAAAAGGAAAAGAAAATGGAGAGGGAGTTGAAATGGATTTTCAATCTAGGGAAAATAGCTGTCTTGAAGGAGAATTTATTCTGTTTTGTCAGATCTTTCATGTGACAGTTTTCTATTTTAAGGAACTCCAAAGTAGACAGTATAATAAAGGAACAACTTCTCTTGATCTGAAAACACTCTCATGGTTTAACAGTCAATGTCTTGAAAATATCTTTCATTCGTATATAGCTTTAAACAAAGATATCCACATGCCCTTTCCAAATATTGGAAGGAGTCAAACTTTGTTGCCATTGTTTTCATTACCGAAATTTAAGAAGCTATTCTAAAAAGTTTCAGCTCCACATGCTATCCTGTATTATCAAGTTTAAGACTTAGTTCTTCCCTTTTCAGGAAGAACAATGGACTGTTACAAAGGTTCCACCATGGACTTATGAAAAAAAAGGAAAAATAGATTTCCTCCCACGTACCAGTGCAGCAGCTATGCTCTGAAAAATTGCAATTATTACCTACTCTACCTTGACCAGGAGTGCAAATAAATAAATACGTTTGTATATGGGCCAAGTCTCCCATCAGTCATAACTACTATGGAAAAGAGTAGAAGAGTGATGATAGCTGGTACAAGGCCAGAGAGGAATTAAGTAATTAATGATGGAATGAGTGAATGAATGGATGAATGAATGACTGAGAAAGCATTTAGTAAGCACTTACTCTTGAGCTCTAGGGACACAAAGAGAAAAAAAGTAAGACAATCTTTACTCTCAAGGTGTTCACCTTCTAATTGGAGGAGACAATAAATAAAAGAAAGTTCAGCTAAAAGAGCAGGTGGAAAGGCCCAGAAATCCTAAGGGTTCTATTGATGCAACTTAAGGACCCCAGGGTTGATGACAAGGACCTAGGAATCCTTAAATTACACCAGTAAATCAGATGATAATGCCCAAGAGTCTGGAGAGTATAGAGTCAGGGCAAATGGCAAAGCCCAAAGGACCTTAAAATACAATGGCAGAACAGATGATAAGGTCTGGCAGTCCTACATCTCACTAGAATGAACAGAATTGGTAATTTCCACCTCAATAAATTGATATGATCAGTCAAATGGCCCAAATAGGGTCTGGTCAACCCATGGTCATGGAGGAAGCAAAAGGAATAGAAAAGGAGAGGGTACCCTGGTAGTGGTGGGTCACTCACATGGAGCTTAGGTATCTGGGGCAAAGGGGGAGAGGAGCAAAAAGAAAGCAAGCCCTGACAATAACATGGGTAAAGAAATACCAACTCAATGTCTGAACCAATTATTCCTGGCTCCCTGACCCTCCTTACTTGACTAGATGGAGTCACACTGACCTGTGTACCTGTCATGTTTGGAGTAAAATGGGCAGAATATGAAGAAGAAGGATAGAACAGTACAGTGGTTGCATTAAAAGGAAAAATTAAAGAACTGAGTGGAAAAGAAGAATGAAGAATGGCCAAAGAGAAGAGCACAGTGGTAAAAGAGAGGGGAAAGTTAAGAGAAAAGAAGTGGGAAATACAGAATTTAAAAAAAAAATACTAGGGATAGGAAGAGGAGAAGAGAAGAAAGAACTTAGAAGCAAAATTGGTGAAAAGGGAGGGCATAGGGATTGTGGAAAGTGACAGAACTGAATGGAAACATTGTCATATATTTTGGGATGAATCAGAGTCTGTGTCCAAATAGCAAACCTTCTGCTAACAGCTCCTTTCTTCACCATTGAGGCTCTATTTATGCTCTTAAAAAGGTCTGAAAAAGCTGAGGCTAGTAACTATAGAGCTTGTGTTAGTCAACAAGTCAATGTGTATTAACCAAGGAGCCAGAGGGTACATAGGACTGGATTACACACTTAAAGCAGAGCACTTAGTATAAGTAAGTGAGCAATGTCCTCCCAAAATCAATGGAATCACAGTACCCTATACTCCAAATACAATTAATTACACATTTTCTACTTACAAATCAGGCTCTTGTCCTTTTTTTATCTCATCCTGTGGTATGGGGTAAAGTGCTTCATAAGTTCTTCCAGCTTTTGATCCATGTATCGCAAATGAATTAAATTTATCTACACCAGGAGGAAAATAACTCCAAGGAAGATGAGCTTTACCTTCCCATGTATTCTCATGTCTGCACACCTCGAATGATAAAGCAAGCTCTCGCTAGAACAACAGCAAAATGGAAGAAGTAAATAAGGTAATGTGACAAATTTGCACCAGTACAGAAAGCACCGGGATATTTGAAAAGCCTGATTCCTATGCAGTTCATTACTTACTTTCCAAGATTTTCTTCTCCCACATAGTAAAATCACCAAGTGCTGTCCATGGCTGTCAAAACAAAAATACCTTGTAAGTACTTTAAAGAAACCAAAATTATATCTCTCACTACTCTGTATCAAAGTTTCTGTCACAAAGTTTTCCAATAACAAAAAACCAAATGAAAATATTGAACCAATGAAAGCAGAGAAGTGACTACTGAAAAATGACATATTTGAATTTTCCCAACTCCAGAGCAAGGGGCCCATTAATTTCTTTTCCAATGAAGTTTACATATTTTGTTTTCAAATTACCTACATTCCCCAATATATCTCTCCTCTTCTTCCCAGAGAACCATCTTTTATAACAAAAATTTTTTTAAAAAGGTGAGGGGACAGTTTGACAGACCTCATCATCACATTGAAAAAGCCTGACATCTGTAGTATCCTATACCTGAAGTCTCCCACATCTTCAAAGAAGAGAGGAAGGTGCACTTTCATAACTCTTCTTTAGGGACAAGTTTGGTCATCATTTCGAAGCTTCAGTTCCAATTGTTGTGTTGTTCTTTATATAAACATTGTTGCAGTTATATTGTAGATTGTTTTCCTTGTTTGCTTACCTCACTTCGCATCAATTTATATGTTTTTGCATGTTTCTCCATATTCATTATATTTAACACTTGTTACAGCATAGTATTATTCCATTACATTTGTGTGCCACAACTTGTTTAGTTATTACCCAATAAATGGAAATCTACTTTGCTTCTAGTTCTTTGCAGCTACAAAAAGTGCTGCTGTAAATATCTTGGTGTATATGGGGACTTTCTTTTTGTCATTAACTTCCTTGGGATATATGACTAGCAATTAAATCTCGGGTTCAACGGATGTAGACATCCTAGTCCCTTTCTTCATAAAATTCCAAATTGCTTTCCAGAATGATTGGACCAATTCACAGCTCCACTAACAATGCAGTAGTGTTCCTATCTTCCTATAGCCTGGGACTTATTTATGACAAATGCAGTTCTATACAAAAAAAGTTATGTGCTGGGCTAATATTGCCTTTCGTGTGCTTTGGATAAAACATAACACAGAACTATAAGCAATGGGTGGAAACTACAAAGAGGAAAATTTAGGTTTGACATAAGGGAAAACTTCCTTAACAATTAAAGCTATCCAGAAGTAGCATGAGCCACTTTAAGAGGTAGTGGGTTTGGGGGCAGCTAGGTGGAACAGTGGATAGAGCTCTGGCTTTGGAGTCAGGAGGACCTGAGTTCAAATCTGGCCTCAGACACTTGACACTTACTAGCTGTCTGACCCTGGGCAAATCACTTAACCCTGATTGCCTAACCAAAAAAAGTTAAAAAAAAAAGAGGTAGTGGGTTTCCCCTTCATTTCAGATTTTCAAGTAAAGACCAGAAGGCCAATGAAATACAATAAAAATTTGTTAAGCACATATTACGTACACAGACCATGTTAGGCACTATGGATACAAAGACAAAAGGAAAAAACTATCCTTGCCTTCAAAGAACTTATGGACCACTTGTGGGCTATGTTGTAGAGATCTTTTTCAGGTAGGGGTTAGGACTAGATGACTATTAAGGCCCTTTCAATTCTGAAATTCTATCACTGTGTAATCAGAATTATGAAATCTTGTTAAATAACTAAAACTGGCATAAAATAGGAGAAAGTATTACTTCATTTGGAGAGAATCTCAGAACTTCCCCCTAAACTAAACTGCCATAAGGAAACTGACACCAATTTACATATCATAGGGTCTATGAAATAGACTGAAGATCATTTTCATAAGAAAGCTATTTTCCACCTCATTAAGAAGCATCCTGGTATAACTGTATGACCTTAGACAAGTCACTTACCAGGATATCAGCCAAGATGGTGAAGTATGAAGAAGCAGTATAGCCTAGTTACTCAGACAACAACTTAAGCACAGGATCACAGATTTAACCCACAGGCAAGTGACTAGGGCAAAGACTGTAGAATAACGGAGGATCAGAGACTTGGAGCCACTCCCTCATGAGTAAAAGAAGATCACAATACTGTTACTCTAAACCAGGACAGGGGATCTCAGAATGAATCTTAGGGTCACAGAAGAGGGTGTTGTTTTCTGATCCCAGCAACAGGTCACCAGATAAGAAACGACAAGATCATGTGTTACCACAGCACCACCAGAAGTGCCAGAGCATCGTGATGGGTAAAAAGAACTGGGAGAGGGGCAGCTAGGTGGTACAGTGGATAAGCATTGTCCCTGGAGTCAGGAGGACCCAAGTTCAAATCTGGGCACCGACACTCACTAGCTGTGTGACCCTGGGCAAGTAACTTAACCCTAATTGCCTCAAAAAAGAAAAAAAAAGAAGAACTAGGGAAAGGCCTCCCATATATTGGCAGATGCTCCATGGGGGCTCTATAGAAGAACATAGACAAGAACTGCACAGCATAAAAGGATGAAAACATAGTGGTTGTGATCTACACTGATGGAGGGAATACACATATCAATGAGATTATATATCAATCAATCACTTAAAGACACTTATTAAGCACCTATGGCAATGAAATATTGCATAAGGGAACATATAAGGTATATTATATTCTATCGGATGAATATTATAT